ATTCAGGAAAAGGTATACTTATGAAAACAGTACAAAGCATCAGTGGTTGCAAGGAGTTAAGAGGGAAGGAAGAATTAATTGTAATGATAATTCACTCTAAAAAAGTTAAATAGAATCTTATGGCTACAGGAATTCCTAATACATTTTCATCAGAGAATGATGAGGTTACTTATAAAAGATTTTCATGCACATTATATTATCATAAAAAGCTTTAGAGTAGCTGAATGGAAATATGAGTTCAAGAAAAGTTCCCTATTAAATATTGAAAGAAAAGTTGTGTTTTTAAAATAGATAACAGCAGATATTAAATTTTTGTGGAATTTAGATTTCATTAAATGCATTTTAAAAAGTGACATAAAAGCTTTTTCAAGTATCAGTAATTTAAATAAGTCTGAAAATCATAGATGTTACAAATTTTTAAAAATTGATTAACAATTTAGCTATCAAAAATATTTTCTCTGGTATGGTACTTTATATTCCATGCAAACTTCTATTTCAAAATATTCAGGAAAAATGATCCAAATTGTGTTCTCCATGGTTAGAAGTGTTGGATTCTGTACTACTAACAAACATATTGCAAGTATCATGACACGGATATTTCTCCCACTTTCACATATGTAGTTGTAATGAGAATGTCTCTGTTTCCTAAATAATTAACAAATGAAGTCCATCAAATTTTATTCTATTGCCTTTAAAGGATAAATATACTAAAGCAACCCAAATTAGAAACACAAACACATGTACCATCTCTTTCACTGAATGAAATGTTGAATGAATTGGATCAAAATCAAGCCCAATCTATATTTCATGTTTTTCCTTGTTATTGTTATAGTGTTGCTTTGTATCACTTCAAGTCAAAATAAAGAAGAGAAAGGATGAGATCAAGAGAGATAGAAATGAATATACTTGCTTATACCATGTAAACCATCATATTCATCAAATCTCTATTATGCTTTAGGCACTGACTTAGTTTGGTAGGCTGAAAATATTATCCTCCAAAGATATACTAATTTCCTAACACCTAAAACCAGCAAATATTAACTTATATGCCAAAACAATGAATATAATTTCATATGCAAAAGATCTGATTGAAATAAGTATCTTGAGGTACGGAGTTTCTTGCAACACCCAACAGACATATGCCTGCTCAAGTTGCCTCAGGAGGTGGAAGGCTGCTATCTTGAAGGAGTCCAAGCATCTTGAAGACAAGAAGTTTTGCCAGCTAGGAGAGAGATGGACCTTACTGGGAAAACATGGAAGGTCCCCAAGGGACAATCAGATAAAAAATTATAAAATTATAAAAGTTAAGTTATTCAGACAAACTGTCACCATGCCTTCCTTGCCTGCTTTGTTACCTAAAACAAACATCTGTGCTAAGCAAAACTCTACGCCTTCATTGTTTCTCAATAAATCTGGGGGTTTGAGTCAGTTCGAGGCTTCATTCCATTCTAGTGAAGAGCCCTGCCCCGCTGTCCCCTACCATGATATTCTCTGTCTCTTGCATTTTTTTTCGCTGGCCTGACCCTGGCATTGAGGAGTTTATCTGGCATAAATGTATGTAAGAGCATATCTCTTTATAAGAGAGAGGAAAAAGAAGGAGAGAGAGAGAGAGAGTGAGAGAGAGAGAGAGAGAGAGAAGGAGAGAGAAAGAGAGAGGAGAGAGACAGAGAGAGAAAGAGAGAGAGAATATGAAGACGTTCACAGAGATTGAAATGAAGTGACTACCAGTCAAGGAATTTCAAAGACTATCAGGAAGCCACCAGAAATTGAAAAAGACAAGGAAAGATTCTCTTCCACAGTCTCTTGAGGGAGTGAAGCACTGCAGGCACCTTGATTTTGGACTTCTGGTCTCCAGAATGATAGGAAATTAATTTTCTGTTATTTTAAGCCACCAGTTTTTAAAAAGTGTTATGATAGCCCCAGGAAACAAATACATCTTGCCATCAAATGATGAACAAGAATACCAACTTAATGAAATATAAGAAAATTTGTAGAGCTACAACTAGTTAGGCTAAAATACTTGCTTCTGGCTTGAAAACATCCCAGAGACAATAGTCATTTGGTTTGTTTTTGCTGTGCTACATTTTATTGAAGAATATGAAAAGCAATTAAACTCATTAATTGTATATCCCTGGTTGTCTGGGCTACAAAATAGAACATACCAGGAATGTTTGACAGCAGGCTTATTACTTGTGAAACTTTAATTTTGATTAGAACTTGCCAAAAGTTTTTCTTGAAGTAGTTAACACAGAATATATGGTTTGCAATTTACTTCATATGTAATTAGTAACTGGCAAGAAAAACAAATTAGGTGCTTGATAAACATGTACTATTATATCTTCCAAACAGTTTTATTTATGCTCAAAGGAAAGGACAGTTTTATGAACGCGCAGTCAAGGATGTAAAATTGGAAAGACAACAGAATTGAGAAGAGTTAATTCAGTGATGGCAACAAAGTCACACATTGCCAAGGCCTCCCACCCTCATGTGATGTTTGCACTGCACTGATTAATGTTGTTCTTGGCAAAAAAATCATACAGAAATGAATGTGAAGATCCTTTCTCACTTGCTGTCATCCTTTATTACTCCTGTGAGGAATTAGTTGCTGTAAAATAAAGATCTGTACCAGTGCAGATAACAGACTCCCATTCCCTACCTCACATATTTGAAAGCATTTGAGGTATATTTCCCCAAACTTGGAATTTCTTAAATAAATATGCACACAGGTATGTCATATGCCTTGTGGAACTTACTAGACTCATGATCATTTTAAGAATGAAAGGCTATATGTTCATAGAAGTTATGGCATAAGGCATAACCCCAAAAGAACACAATTTAGTTTCAGCAAAGTCAAATTTAAACAAGTCTTTGCTTGACAAAATTGGTGAAGGAGGTGAAATTTGTCTTCATTTTCAATTTTAAAAAATGTCTGCTAAGCACCGCAATGGGTAGGCACTGACTGCTCTAGGTACTATGATAACAGCAATTAATACAAGAGACACAAACTCTTAATTTCATAGATCCTTACATTCTATTGAGTTGCAAGAGATAATAAAGAAAAATTAAACAGGTAAAGAGATGAAGAACATCAGACTCTTTTAAACTTAAGTATAAACATATACAACCTTTTTTTTAAAAAAAGAATATCTTTGTTTTTCAAAAACAAATGGCATCATACTTATATATTCTACCATGACTTCTGAAGCCAACTGGCAAACATTACTTCTGGGGATATTCTAAAAATCTGTATGCATTGCTGATTTGGGTTGTTAAAAGTCTCTCTCTCTCTCTCTCTCTCTCTCTCTCTCTCTCTCTCTCTCTCTCTCTCCTCTGTCTGTCTTTCTCTTTTGATGTAGGAAGTTGAGATGAAGTCCCCCTTTCTAGCTTTTACAGTCCTTTATTTCCTGAAAATTCCAAGTGGAATGTAGATTTTCTGCAAAGACTGAACAAGGTTCATACATTATGTGTTAGTGAATCTTTATAATGTTAGAATCTCAAGTTGACTTCTAGGAGATTTTTATCTGAGTGGTAATGATACATGCTTTTCTGGCTGTGCAATTTACCAGGGAAAATTATGGAAAATCAAATGACACAATTTAGACAAATCAATAGACTAAATAAGATCTTTAAATCAACCTAAGGACATAGAGCATTTTCTTTCTGTTAAAGGTGACATTTCAAATCAACAAAAAAAAATATTTTTTTCTCAAGGATTGAGAGGGTAAAAAACAGACATATAGCAAAATTCAAAAATACATTTTTTCCTTACTATCAAAACAATCTCCAAGTACTTAACAAATTTAAATATAAAATAAATCATGAAAGCACTAGAAAAATTTAGGTAATTGTTTTTTGCACATCAGGCTTAACAGAATTATTTCTAAATATATAAAAAAAAATCAGAAATAAAATGGTAATAATCAATATGTTGGACTAAAATGTGAAAATTATGTAGGAAAACAATAACAATTAAACATATATAAATATGAATAACAAATTAGGAAAAATTACAATATGTATACAATATTGATAATAAGCTTACAATTACCAGTCATAAAGAAAAATAAATATATTTTTGTTTTAGCAAACATGGAAACTTTCAGAAGAAAAGAAATGAGTGCCAAATAAACATTTAAAATTATGGTGTATCAGTAATAACAAAATTATTGCATAGAGGAATGAGAGATTTTTTAAAACATGAAAATGTCAGGTAGGGAAGACATGTAATAACAGGCATTCATCTACTACTGGCAAATTTAAAAATCTGTATTCCTTTTTAACAAAACAATTTTATTCATAGAATTTTTTACTAAGGAGATAAACAAAGATCTAGGTGTTACCATATCATTGTTTTTATTTTTCTATTAGAACATAGTATATATTTTCATTTTTGTTCTAATGAAGTTTGGTCAAGGTCATTGTGCCATTTCTAGTGACATATTTATGTATCTAAATTAATGACAAGTGATGTAGGATTAAAATTCACTCTATCAAGACCTTTCATTTAAAAAGTCCTATCTCAGGAGAAGTTCTGCCTTTTATTCACTAATAAATGAAGGAAAATCCATGAGCTACTGTGGGACTATATGAGATTGAACGAAGGTTACTCCATGTTGCCTCACTCGATACTCCTCCTCCCCTTCTGAGTAAACCATGTGATGTCATTTCTGGGAAGAAAAACAAAGGTTCACAGAATGCACAGTGTTCTTTGAAATTACCCAACTCCCCATAAACAGGAAATGTACTGGAACATGCTATCTACTATCTAAATGTACTGGAACATGTTATCTACTATCTAAATGTACTAGAACATGCTATCTAAATCCCTTAACTGTCAGCATCTCGCTTTTGTAATCTCTGCCTGCTAACTTCCCCTTGCAACCCCTATAAAAGAGCCTCGTACTCTGAGCCAGTTGTCTCTCTAAGCTTGTTTGCTTGGAGGGTGCCGTCTGGCCAGACTAATAAAGGTCTGTTTTACTTTCCAACCTGTCCGGTGTGTTCCCTCCTGGGTGTTCTTCACTGCAGTCAGCTCCTTGGAACGTTTGGTAAGGCCCTCAGTCTCACATTTTGGAGGCCCCAGCGAGATCCCCGGGTAGGAACCCCGATTCGGCCGAGACTCCGTGGCAGAATCCAGCAGGAGGCTCTTGGGCACAGACCTCAGAAAACCTCTGGAGGTAAGCTCTTTGCCAGTTGCAACCATTTGTTAAGTCAGGAGTGAGGTGGCTGATGAGCCAGTAAACCTCCCCTGACCCCAAGGTTCCTGACGAGGAATGAGGGAAGTTTTAGTTTCATTTTGTCATGGCACCCATCTTGTCTTTTGTGTGTTAGTGTTGTGTCTGTTGTGTGTCAGATTTTACATTTCTTTTCCAGTCCTCATCAAGAGCAAAGTAATGGGAGGATCCTGTTCTACCAGGTCTACTCCGCTTGACTGTTTCCTCACTCATTTTAAATTGGCTTTTTCTCCAGAACAAGAAGATGAATACAGGGTAAAGTTTTCTTGCAGGAGACCCACTCCCTGTGCCAACTGGAATGGCCAGCCTTTGGGGTGGAGTGGCTAGCTGAAGGGACTTTTGACCTCAGTACTTGCTGGGCAGTCTGGGGCAAGGTCACCGGTCACCCTGGCCACCCAAATCAATTTCCCTACATAGACATCTGGGTTCAGGCTTGTGAGGAACCTCCAGCTTGGCTGCAGCACTGTTCCCTTCAAACAGATACTCACATTTTAGTTGCTGTTCTGAAGGGACCCCAGGGGCTTAAAACCTGGGCTCCCAAGCCAGTACTCTCACAGGAACCTGACCCCCTAGACCCCTTGGGAGGGCCTCCACCCTATGTGGAATTTTCCACCTCCCAGATGGATCCTGCTCTAGACCCTGAAACCCTTTCCTTCCTCCATCTGTTCAACCTTCAGCTCCTACCTCTCTCTATCCTCCTCTCCCTGAGGGGCCCCAGTCCCTGGACTCTGTGACTTCTCCCCTACACACATGAGCTGGGGCTCTGTATGGACCTAGCAAGGTCCCTGCTGGGGGAACTAGTTCAGTCCCTCTCTTGCCCCTTCTGGAGACAGAACAAGGTCACTATATTTATATCCCTTTTAATACCAGTGACTTATATAATTGGAAACATCAGACTCCTCCTTTCTCAGGGAAACTCCAAGCCCTAATCTCTCTCCTAGAATCTATCTTTCATACCCATGATCCTACTTGGGATGATTGCCAGCAACTCCTCCAGGCCCTTTTTACCTCAGAGGAGAGGGAAAGAATCTGAGGACAAGCTGTAAGGTCGGTGCTAGGTGGAGCAGAAGGCCCCTTAGATGAGCAGCACTGGGCCTGTATTGAAGCACAACTCCCATCCACCCGACCCCACTGGCAAACTAATAGCTCAGGCGGGAGAGAAGCTCTCCAGAACTATCGTCAGCATCTCCTGGCCAGCCTGAGGGGAGCCGCTCGAAAGCCTACCAATTTGAGCAAGGTAAGCGAGGTCCTTCAAGGATCAGAGGAATCCCCTTCTGCCTTTTTGGAGCATCTGTTGGAAGCATACCATATGTATACTCCAATTGATCCAGATGCCCCTGCAAATCGGCAGGTAATAAATTTGGCCTCTGTTACCCAGTCAGCCCCAGATATTAGAAAGAAGCTGCAAAGGCTAGAGGGATTTGAGGGAGAGAGTAGAGAAAAGTTGATGAGTGTAGCCATGAAGGCGTTTAACAACAGGGATACCCCGGAAAAGAGGATGGACAAAAGATTGGGAAAGGTGACCATAGCTGCCTTGGCCAATGGAGGATTTGTCCAGAAAGAAAGACCTGAAAACAAAGGAGGGAACAAGGGTAATACCTGACTTAGAGAAAGATCAGTGTGCCTATTGCAAGGAGAAGGGCCATTTTAAAAAGGATTGTGAAAAGCTGAAAAGGAAAAGAGAGAAGGAAGCCCAAAAGGAAAATGGTGGAATCCTCTTAGTAGATGAAGATTGACGGGGCCAAGGCTCACGGCCGCTCAACCCTAGTGACCCTATGGTGACCTTGGAGATAGGGGAAACAGATGTTCAGTTCCTTGTGGACACTGGTGTAGCCCACTCTGTCCTGAAGACCCCCCTTGGACCCCTCACTTCCTTAAAAAGCTCCATTACTGGAGCCACAGGGAATTCGGCCTCCTACCCTTGGACCACTAGACAAACTGTGAATCTAGGAAAAGGCACCATCACCCATTCCTTCTTAGTTATCCCTGAGTGCCCGTACCCATTGCTGGGAAGGGACTTGCTACGAAAATTGGGGGCTATTATTTCCTTTGAGCCTGAAGGAGGGACTTTCAAACTCAAGTCATCCTCTGCCATTATGGTGACGGTTCCCCTAGAAGATGAATTTAGATTGCTAAAGGAAGGCACAGGGCCCCCCGAGCAAAAATGGGACTACCTTCAGAAAAAGTTTCCCAGGGTATGGGCTGAAACCAATCCACCTGGGCTGGCCAACCACCATGCCCTGGTGGTGGTCCAATTGTTGGCCTCTGCTACCCCCATCCGTGTGCGGCAATACCCCCTCTGGCTGGAGGCCAAGGTAGGTATCTCTAAGCACATCCACCAAATCCAGGAAGCTGGCATCTTGGTCCCTTGCCAGTCAGCCTGGAATACACCCCTGCTTCCTGTGAGGAAGGCTGGCACCTCAGACTTCAGACTGGTACAGGATTTATGAGAGGTAAACAGCCAGGTGGAGACAATCCACCCAATGGTACCAAACCCCTATACTCTGTTGAGTCTCATCCCTCCTGCTCATGTGTGGTATTCAGTATTAGACCTCAAAGATGCATTTTTCAGCCTACCCCTAGCACTAGTGAGCCAGCCCCTCTTTGCCTTCAAATGGACTGACCCAGACACTGGGACCACCAGACAGCTGACATGGACCTGGCTGCCACAGGGATTCAAGAACTCCCCCACTCTGTTTGGGGAAGCTCTCAGCAAAGATTTATGAGAGGTAAGGAGAGCTTTTCCCCAAGCAACTATTCTTCAGTATGTAGACAACCTCCTAGTGGCAACTTCAACCGATGAAGAGTGTCTTGCGGCCACCGAGGGCCTCTTGGAAGTCCTCCAAGACCTGGGATATTGGGTGTCCTGGAAGAAAGCTCAGATTTGCCAAACCAAGGTAACCTACTTGGGCTATATTCTTGAGGAGGGGAAAAGGAGGCTGACAGAATCCAGAATCGAGGGTATCAGCAATTCTCCAGATTCTGGAGCCAAGCTCAAAGAAACAGGTGTGTGAATTCCTAGGGGTGATTGGGTATTGCAGAATATGGATCCCTGGCTTTGCCGAAATTGCCAAACCCCTACACAAAGCCACCACAGGGGGAGATACGCCCCTCAAATGGACTGAGGCCTGCCAACAGGCATTTCAATCACTTAAGACTGTGCTTGCATCAGCACCAGCCCTGGCATTGCCAGACTTAAACAAGCCCTTCACTCTGTATGTAGCGGAGAGAAATGGGGTAGCCAAGGGAGTGATTACTCATCTTTTGGGACCATGGAAGCAGCCAGTGGCATACCTCTTGAAGAAGTTAGACCCAGTGGCCCGAGGGTGGCCTACCTGTCTGAGGATAGTAGCAACAGCAGCTGCTCTAATCTGAGAGGCTGACAAACTGACATTTGGGCAGGATTTCACTTTGATCACTCCCCATGCCATTGAGCCCTTGTTGAATAGCTTGCCTAGCAGATGGTTGTCAAATGCCAGACTGTTGCAATACCAAGGACTCTTGTTAGAATAGCCGTGCATTAAGTTTGCCACCACTGCTAGCCTCAATCCAGCTACCCTACTCCTGGAATCTGATGAACAGATGCCCATCCATGATTGCCTTGAGACTCTTGAAAACTTGAGGGGAGGGCATCTGGATTTAATGGACCAGGCCCTCCCCCATGCAGAGGCAACATTCTATACTGACAGATGCAGCTTTGTGAGTGACGGAGTATGGTATGCCGGGGCAAGGGTGGTCATCCAGGACCAGCAGGTGGAATGAGAGCAGGGGCTACCCCAAGGGACATCGGCACAGAGGGCTGAGCTGATTGCTTTGACCAAGGCTCTGGAACTAGGAAAAGGCAAGAGGATAAATATTTTCACTGACAGCCATTATGCTTTTGCCACCGCCCATGTGCAAGGGGAAATTT